ATATTTTGTTGTTTTAATCTGAATATTTATTTTATTTTTTAATCCATTTTTTATGGACATTTTGTTAAAGTAATAATCAAACTCTCCCGCTTTATAACCTCCAGACTCTCATCTAAGTTTGAAACAGAGAATTTATCTCCTACGGGGTGAAAGACCAACCCGTGAAGATCAGTGTTGCTCGCCTGGTCGCTCTTACCAAATTAAATCTACTTATTATATAGCTTTTACTGATATTGCATCCCAAAGTAGTTATTTATTATTATCATATCTGTGTGCCTTATGACGCGTAATAAAATGAATATCTTTCAAAGTAGTTAAACAAGTTTTGGATGCCTAAATCTTGGGAGCGTTCACTAGGGCTTGCCTGTTAATGTAAACAGAAGACAAAAGATTGAGAGGATTTACTCGGGCTTCGGTTGGCGCAAATTCGTAATCAAAGATAGCTGAAATTTTAAAAATAATTACTCAGGCTTCTTGAGGTGAAAACAACAGATCTAATATTTATAATATTCAATTGGCTAATTAAAATTTTAATTGACTAAGCAGTGGCATTTTGCGTTTGGAATTAAAAACCCTAATTATGACGTCACAAATAATGACGTCATCATTCAACAAATTCGATATAACTGTTCTAATTGGTCAATTTATGCTGTGCGCGCTTCTATCGAACGAGAAGACGGACAACACCCTCATCACTTAGGCGATCCAAAACGACCGCTTCTAGGTGACGGGCTACGTTCAAGACCTGTAGCCGGCGACCTATGTCATCGTCAAGATACTGGGACGCACCGTAAATCGTGTTTTCCACTATCTTCAACGTATGTCAACTCCATCGGACAGCACAAATGGCGAAAAAAAATCTTCTGCGACTGCTAACGGGGAAGCGAAGCAAAAAAACGAATCAAAGCGTTCAAGATCCGAGTCCAGACATTCGTCAAAGGACAAAGACGGGGGTCAATCGTTTGATACGGCTATTCCAGTATTATCGGCTTATGGTTATGCTCTAGGGGACACTCTGGGGAAAGGTAAGGCTCTTGATGTCTCTCGCGCTCGGCCAGCGTCGTAAAACAATATGATATCTTTTGATTCTGTTTTGACAAATGCTACACAAGGTTATGAATCTCTATTAGAATCGCCCTCTTCACCTTGGGTGTAATGTTTTCCCATTCAGACAACGTGTCATTCTCTTGAGAACAATTTCTTTGTTTGAGATGTGTCCATATTCATGTGTCTAGCTCATACACAACCAACAAACAAAGAAATGATACTCTAGAGGATAAAACATGGTCTGACCGTTCCGTTATTCTCATTTAGAGCACTTTTCAAGTAACCCTAATCCAAACAACCAGTCCAGACGCTGCGCAGCACATTTTATCTTCAGTTTTGTCTTTCTTCCATCAAGTATAAAACGGTCTAAATTCACACTTTTTGACTGCAAGTCTCAAAGTTTTTGTTCCTAGTCTGCTTAATAATCTCAGCCTAACTTGTCTTAACGCAGGTTCATACGCAGTCGTAAAGGCTGCTTACTCGAGGAAACTTAAAAAACAAGTCGCCGTCAAAATAGTTACAAAGAAAAAAGCTCCGGAAGATTATTTGACCAAGTTCCTGCCTCGCGAGATTCAAGTCATGAAACACTTGCGCCATGAAAACGTCGTGGGACTCCACGAAGCCATCGAGACGAGCTCTAGAATCTACATCATACTGGATCTAGCAGATAATGGCGACCTCTTGGAGTTCATAAGAACAAATGGTCCAATCCAAGAAGACGAGGCAAGGAAACTTTTCCACCAGCTTGTCGACGCAACGGAATACCTGCACAACAAAAGTGTGGTTCATCGGGATTTAAAATGCGAAAATATTCTACTGAACCACGGTAATCGAATTATCGTCTCAGATTTTGGTTTTGCGCGCACGCAGCACATCGTGCCCGAGACTGGAAAGAGGCGTTTGAGTCAGACATTCTGTGGTTCTTATGCATACGCGCCTCCAGAGATACTACGCGGCATCGCGTATGACGGCACCTTGGCTGATATATGGAGTCTAGGGGTTGTGTTATACACGATGGTTTGCGCGAGTCTTCCTTTTGATGACACCAACCTCAAAGTCCTCCTGGAACAAGTGTCGCGAGAGGTGGTTTTCTCGAGACGGAGAAAGGTATCAGATGAGGCGAAAGACTTGGTAAAGAAAATGTTGGTGGCAGATGTATCTGTGCGACTTAGCATAGAGAACATACGAAAGCACCCGTGGTTTTTGGGAATAAAGTTGAATGAAGTTCCGAAGATCGAGGAAGGGTCTGTGAAGAGCACGCAAAGTGGATCGAACGAGGCAAGCCGTAGCAGTAGCAAGAGGTCTGGCGATTCGGGGTATTCCGGAGACACCGATATATAAACTTGTGATAAACTTGGAGATTATATATCTTTGAATGTGAAGGCGAAGTGTTTCAACGAGATCTCAGCAGGCAGACAAGCAGAATACAGAGTAAGCCCTACTGGATATAAGCAAACGGACAGGGCATAATATCTTTAAAGTCAACTTTCTTGTTATTCGTCAAGTTGAATTTTTCAGCCTAATAAAAATCTAAAACTAAGACTTTGAGTACGAGATGTATATTATATAGACAGAGGTGGCCTAGAGCGCATACCATATAATATCTACCAAATTAGTAAGTTCGGTAGACCTCAGTAGACCGTAGACCTACAAAACTTTGCACTAATTCGTAAACTTTTGCTTGTTAATTTTTTCTCGGATATATTTTCACTCTAGGATAAAAATCAGAGACTTCTATAGACATACTTATATATATACTTAGTTTTCAACTAGTAGAAGACTGATTGCAAGATTTGATTTTTTAATTGATTCAAAATAACCGAGACCATACTTCCACAACATCGAAAGCTGAACCGTCGTAGCGCGAAGCGTTTACGGCTATGCTGGAGTCTTTCGCAATACCTAATTCAGTTTCTAAAGGCGGTTTTAGAATATTTCTATTCAATCAAAATGACAAGGACCATACTTCCAGACATCGAGTGCTGAACCGTCCTATGGACTTACGGCTACGCCGGAGATTTCGACCCCAACACCGCTATCCCGGGAGGAATTACAGACTGATCAGGAAGCTCGGCAGACGCCTAAGGGAGAGGTTAGTCGGCCCCTAGACCATAGATGATTAACCCCTTGCTATGACCAACATACCTGTTGTGTACATTGCGTTGCACATGAGTATGGTCCCATGGTCACTCCTTTCCGTGTGGGATGGGTTTTATAGGCAAGCCACTTTGTATTACATGCAAACTTAGAAAGGAATATAAACGTTATTTTTTAGATATCCAATGAAAGGATAAGAAAGCTTAGGGAAAAAAGACACGCATGCGCAATGGACAACATTGAAAACTAAAGTAACGAAAACATCAAAAGTGCATTTATTTTTATTTAACCCTCGATCGATTTCATAATCGCAATCTGAATTATTTACAGGGTATTCAAGAAACGTTAGTTTCGTGGAAGCGGTGCACGTGTTTCTCGTTTTATTTCGCTTTTATTTTAATTTATTTTAAACCAGGCTGAAGTTAATCTAGCCTGTCGTGCAGACGTTTTTAGTGTAAGGAACGAGCCAACACTAAAAACGTCAAAGGCTGAAGTTAATCCTGATAACTTTATAACTTGTGTTATACATTGCAATTTTAAAATTGGAGATTGTCAATTATTTAATTCGGAAGCATGCAAAATCACTGAATAGATCAATGTTAGTTACGAAAACCTATTTCGGGAATATTTGTTGATCATCACCATGGTAACGCCGATGCAGCTAAAACGAACACTACTACAACATTTCATCACATTCTAGTCCTTCATATGTTACTAAAACCTGATCGATCCAATAATGTAAGGTAGAACAAATGAATCAAAAGTGTCACCAGAGAAAACAATTATATGGCGCACCTTTAAATATAGATGCTCGCTATAAGTAAAGCTGTTAAATTAGCCATTTCATTCCATTCTGGGGGAAACTGGGTTGAGTTGACATTACAGTGCATTGTGGGGCTGTTTTAGGGGACGAAATAGACGCCATCTTGGAAATATGTCCCTTAAAACAGCCCCATAATGCACTGCAATGCCAACTCCACCCAGTTTTTTCTCAACCTGAGAATGGCTTATAGTGCAGTTTTCGTATGACTGTGAAACGTTCACGACACGAACACGGTCGTGACACGGCAAGGGATACGCCAGACCAATCACATCGCACGAGAATTTACTCTCCATCCAATCAAATACCCGGAACACGGCATAAACACGGCGCGGACACCGTCACGCCAAGGTCAAGGCAATGCAAAACTAATCATATTGCGCGTGAAAAAAATCAGCCAATTAAAAATCTAGAAAGCACCAAGGTCACGGCACGTCACGCTTACGACCCTGAGCTTTTCACAGTCATACAAAAACTGCTCTAGTTTGGCATATTTGTACAAACTTTTCTCATTGCTTTACTTGAATAGAAGCTAGATCCTAGCTTGATGGCGATGAAAGAGATCAGTCGCTCTTTTTTGTCGCTTATTATATTAATAATAGTACTCTTCGTAAGAGATTATGACGTTACGTATCATTAATTCAGTATCTAGGACCCTCCCTTCGCATTCAAATGAAAACCATTTTCATCCTGAATTACAATGGCATAAAATATTTCATTCGMATTCATTTTAAGTAAAGGGACTACATATAACTACTATTGAATCTCCATTTCGGTGCTTATGAACATTTTATCAAACCTTTTAAACTCTTGCTATGCTCATTCAAAGCATTGTTTCAGTAAGCTGTGTTTGACCTCATTCACTTGACGAATATATAACCAAAAGCTGGGATATAGTGCATGCCGTTGACATTCCCACATGAGAGTCGACCCATGTGCTTCGAGGCTGCAGCATCACCGCCTGCGCCAAATCCAATATACGAGATGGGAACGCCCGCATTATCTGATTTAGGATAAGCAATGATTCCTATGCGAACGCGCGCTCCGTCTCCGCTTGATGGTCGTACATTAAAGCCATCTCTCTTCGTGCCATTCTAAGATGAAATAAAGGCGAGAGATTTTAGCATTTAACAAAGCTAAAATCTTGGACAAAAATAGTCGTGAAATTTTTTTCCAGAAAATAGCGCATGCGCCAAAAAATTGTGAACGCCTAACACGAAAAAGCTGTTTTATAAGTGCTAAATATAAAACTCGTATTACAACCATTCTACTTACGTCCAGCTTTGATCCAGGCAAAAGTTTTAACCACTTTGCTTCGTCATACCCAAACGTCACATACCCACTTTCCGCAATTGTCATCATAGATTTTCCCGACGATATCTTCTTGTTGAGCCATCGAATCGATGAGAAATTGACTAGTTTCATTCCCACGCAAATGTTTTGGAAAGCAATGCTTGAGAAGGTCGCCAATTTAGTCTCTTTTTCGTCGAGATTTGCTCCATTTTCAGGTTGGTATTCTTTTTTACTTGGCATCTTTGAAGTCCAGTACTGGGAATTGTATCTGAAGGTTGACTGGAAAAAATGAATAAAGATAATTTCAGTGGAAAAATCTAGGGTTTTGAACGGGAGGTTATCGTTGATCGCTGAGGATGAAACATTAATCCTTTCATTTTTCTTGGACACAACTGAACTTAATGAAAAACACCTGACGTCGAACTGCAGTTTGAGGTTTGCGGTACCTAGCAAGAACGTCGTTAATTAATAGATAATTACTGAGGCACGCAGCATTCGTAGGTATAATGCAGCTGCCTGCATTATACCTACGAATGCTGCGTGCCGAAGTGATTATCTAGTATAATTATTGTTCTTATCAAAATCCAATTGTTTTCTTTCTAGCTTGTTTATCATAGAAACAAAGCCAATAATGAATGAACTAAATATGTCTGATTTTCCTCTATGCATTCGTTGGGATAATGCAGACTGAAAACAATGGATTTTGATAAGATCAGTAATTATAAGTCTTTAATGTCCTCGGATTCGCAGAAGAGTATGCCCCCCCTACACCCCCCCCCCTACACCCCCCCTACTACCCCATAGAACCTTCTCAGAAAAATATGGCCAATTACGTCATTTCCTGTCTCGTGCGGAATGTTCATCAGCTGAATCCCAAATTAGTTTTCAATATTCTTTCTGACTGATAGCACATTGATTTTCCTGCGATATCAAACATTCTGCTTTAATATGTGATATTCGTTGCGCTGAGCCTAGACCAGAAACATACAGTATTTGTCGAACTCAGAAAGGTCTTAGGGTGCTCAGTCTTCGACTAGTGTTTGGATCAGACTGGTTGATATTCGAAGACTTGCTGCATGCTTGTGTAATAGTACCATGATATAGGAAATTAGTTCTACGAGAATCAAAAGCAGCCAAGAACGCCATTCAACTGCTACAGGTTAGTCTGGAAGATTTTTCCTTCTGTATTAATAAGAAAATTTATTTCTTTTCGAAAGCCATTTCGATGATACAGCACGCTTCATGCACCATGCAAATGCGGCAAAGCAGCAATGTATTTTCCCGCTCAAACGACCAGCACACGTGCTGTAGGAAGCCAATTCAATGCAGTCGAAATATTTCTATTGACCATTTGATTATACTTTGTACATTATTTTACATCTTTAGTCATAAACATTAACAAAATACTATTATTTTTTATTATCTCTAACTTTTATTGATGTGGAAACGTTACATGCACAAATATTAACAAACTTATAGACGTCATAGCCGCCATGTTGGAAGAATTTGACAAAAGATTTTTGAATGAATTCTTTTGTTATTTTTTCCAACATGGCGGACATCCCTTTTGTTATTATGCTCTCTTGGGATTGATTGCAAACCAAGAATAAATAAGTATGAATAATAATATAACGGGCGTGTTTTTATTATCGTAGTGGATGAGGCTAAATATGATGCTTGGCAATTTTTAATTTTTGAAGATATCTCAACTAAAGCGAATTCTAATGAGTAATGTACCAAAGCATTCTATCTTTGTAGACAAACTTCAAACTGTTCTCCTCGAATTCAATTTTACGTGCGGTATGTGTTTTTCTTTCACGTCACAAAATTCGAACGACTCACTTCGTGACATAGCCTCCTTTGCAGCCGCTGTGAGGCGCTTCCGGTTCCCGTCATTCCCCCACTAGCACGCTAGCACGCTAGTGGGGGAGTGACGGGAACCGGAAGCGCCTCACAGCGGCTGCAAAAGGGGAATGACGGGAACCGGAAGCGCCTCACAGCGGCTGCAAAGGAGGCTATTCGTGACAGGGCTCCCGTGAAGTCCACACTACCTTTGAGCCATTGATCTTCATGACTAGTGTCCAGCCCCCTACGTCTCCACAACCGGAAATGCTTGTCATGTGACAGTAAACAGGTTTAGTTGCTCCCATCAGGTAGTATGCGCGGTCTGGGACAGACCTAAAAAAACATCCAAGAAAAGACTTACAAATGCCGAATTAATTATATTTTAATTCGAAAATTGATTTCCCCGTCATTTTAATTGGCCGAGATAATTGCAAATAACTGCCTTAATTAAAATCAACCTCGTACCCAGAGCCTGCGTCTAGCACTGAAAAAAAAGTCGACCAAGTTTTAGAAAAGTCGCCAACGTAAAAAAAAGTCGCCCAGCTTAAGAAAAGTCGATGGCCCTAAATGGGCTCCGTATTAATGGTTTGAGAATTCAATTATAAAAATGAGCGTAAAACTCAGGTGCTAAAAAAGTTATGTGGATACGATGGGATTCGAAACCACGTCCACAAACAGTAAAGGCCACCCTGCCCTTGGGTATACAGATTACGCAGGGTTGTGTTCTAGCCGAAGCATCAGGGGAGAGACTCGTTGGCCCCCAGACCACATCAACTAATCCTTTGCATAACCTGCCACGCACTGGCACGTTGATTCGAAGTGGAAAAAGAAACTAGTCTATCTGGTGCATTGTTTATACGGCTATCGTTGTGCTAATTTCCTGAAATCGTGGTCCAGTGTAAAAAATGGCAACAAAGAAACTGAGTCAAGCCCGGTTGAGCGAGGTTGATACCTGGATGGGTGACCGAAAACTTATGGCTACTCAAGTTTTTCATTTATTTTTTTCGTCTCATAAATATGCATCCAATGATATCGTATTTACCCTCGTCTGTTTAGTATATCCTGACACGAACTTCCTGCTTTCTCCGGAACATCCCCATATTCTAGGTTTAAAAAAATGACAGTGACACTTCAATGGCTTCCATATTAAAGCACTACGATTGGATAGTTGCGTATTCCATGTTATCTGATTGGGTCGAGTCATGTTGGCTGTTCCTAGCTGGATCCGCATAGCACTAGTTAGCAGGGGGGAGGGGAGAGGATAGATTATCTGCTAACAATCTACTAACCTGGTTCCGCGCTGTAGCAGTAGTTATCAGGGGGGAGGGGAGAGGATAGATTATCTGCTAACGAGCTACTAACCTGGTTCCACATAGCACTGTTTGCTTACACCACAGTTACACGGACACGAACCTTGGTTTTTTCCCCTCGTTGTCTTTCTCGTCACTTCCTATTGCCAATAAAAACCAACAAAAATCTGAAAAGGGTATCCGRTATTCTTGCATAAACAGATTATTATGACGTCATTATCATGACGTCAGTTTTTACGTCACTAGTACCGAGTTACGTCTTTTGTCTTCAAATATAGATAAATAGATAATGATTTTATCAGAAATGATTTTTTCGATGTGGCGTGCGTGCAATAGAGCTCGCGATAAAAGGGCATTTAATTAACGAAGAATATAACACGGCTAACGATTAATAAGTGTTTCGATAGAAACACTGAATGTTGCCATGGCAACAAGAAAGTGATAATCCAAAAATGGAATTTTCGACCTTTAAAATGGTTCTAATAGCGTCTAGGTTGGTTCGCGCTGTTTACAGAACGAGCTCGCTTTACGTTCTCTTCTGCCCAACCTAATTCGTTAATTGATCACTTCTGCTCTATCCATCCATCCATCCATCCATCTTATAGCGTTGGGAAAACATTTCTAACTACCGTTTTTAAGAAAATAGATAAAACTACTTTTGGAAATTATTGAGGCCCATTTACACGGTATGATTTTTTCCTCACAACTGTATAACACGCTGACGACACGAATTGGCTTCGTGTAAATCGACCGTACAACTTGTTTAAGACTATTTCGTGCGCCTAGTATTCGAACTTGGTCTGGGAATGTTGTGTGCACGCACGACAATTTTAAGAAAAAATCGCAACGTGAAAATCGTCCTTTACAAACCCTTATCTGGTGATAAATCCATCCAGCACTGCTTGTCAACTCGTCTTCAGCCTGACATCGTTTCTCTACGCCATGTCCGTTTAACTGACATTCGCTCTTGTTGTCAAAATTATACGATATACAAAGAAGTTCTTCTTGACATTGTTTGATACATTCATACCAATCTTCCACTTGTATGACTCTCAATTGCGATCCTTTTAAATACTTATCCATGTATGTGAAGGGAGAGAATGGCTCAGAGAGATGGAATAAACTAGCAAAAACAAACACTAGAAGTCCCCACATGATTGAATAATTTTCCTTAGTGCTTCAGTTCTCTTGACTCTTGAACACTGGTTCTTTATGAAGAGAACTTTCTGTTCACGAATAGCATAAATTCCCAGGAAATGTTCTGCACCTTTACTCTTTTGTTTTCAAACGGGACAAGAAATTTGACGAGTTTTTGTTTTTCTTTTTTCGAGAGTTTGCCTAAAAATAAAAAACAGGTACTTTGGTCATTTTAGAGCTGTTTAGTATAATCTTCTTGGTATATCATCTTTTTTTTTTTTTGATTTACCAGTTCCTTACCTGTAGGTCTTATTCAGCCAGAGTACAAGATGGTTTTTTGTCCAGTACAAAGGAAGCGGTGATTTTTCGAAAGAAACTATCAATAATGTTAGTGCTTTTGTGTTGATAATTCAGGCTGGTTGCATTTGTTAAGCGAGAATACGCGCTTCAAAACGAAGAAATTCTAGTCCTAGCACTAAACAAACTAAACCAGAGAATAGTTTAACAAATTCGTTGATTAAAAACGTCCACGGAAAGCTCACTGGCGTCAAGGCTGACTATTGATATTTAGAATTGTTCTCAGTACTCAAAATTGCATCATTGTCAGGTGAAAGGTGGTAATAAAACCCCCAAAACACAAATAATTCAATTTGTAGGAGCTGCTGTCCGAATTAACAGCATTTTCATTGGCGTTTTTAACCCTAAAGTGTTTTACATAGCCAAATGTTTATTCAAAAGCGCGTAAATAGCTCCCAAAGAAGCGTCGTTGAACAAACACACAGGTAGATACGCATTTAGCGCCAATTTGAGTTACTATGACAACGATTTACAGCAAGAAAAAAAGAATAGGAAGTTGTTAATTATAAAGCGAAAATTGGTTTTTCGCTCTTTTTTCATTTTTGATGACAAAAAATGTTTGGATATCATTTCTTTTCAAAATTAAGCCGAGCTTATTTAGTTTTTCTCTCGATTTTTAAGAACGTTTTTTTGTTATAATTTTTGGTGCAATATTGACATAGTTTGAACGAAGCACTCGATTTCATTTTGTTCAATGAAATTCTATTATGCTGGAAAATTGAACAAACGTCACCCAAGCTAAAAACCCTATACGACGAGCTTAAAAATATAATCCAACAGACTAAGATATCCGGTTTTCGGCCTAGGATTGAATAATCTTACTACGAGAAAACGAATAACTTCGACTTATCCTTAATGACGGATGTACTGCAGGCAATCAAACTTTGATAAAAATCCTAAGATCATAATTCGTTGAGTTTTTAGACGTTTGATAATATAAACAGGTCATTTATGTCAAAAATTCAAAATCTAGGATATTTTAGGTTTAAAATATGAATTTTTATCGCCTTGTTTTTAGGTTTAGTTAGCAAACATCAATTGACAAGAAAGAAATATTTTGGCGCGAAAATGAGTAAGATTATAAGACAGGTAGCAATAGAAGTTCCTTTTCCAAAATGAAGCTTGAAGACATTTCTAATAATCTTGTATTACTGATATATATTCTTTCATTCACTCTGAGAAATATTAATCTAAACCTAAATATCAATCGACAAGAGTTTTAATTACACAAAGTTGTTAAATTAATTATAAGAAGGTTTTAATCGTAAACTTGTCAAAGCTCAAATAATTTTATTGCTACTGCCACTAAACGAGACGAGAAAATTGAAATAATACCTCTCTAAGCCCAGAGGAGTAATTGAAAGAGCTAAAATTAGCACAGAAATTAAATACTAGTACAATGGAAAAAAAATTAGATAGACAGTTTTTCCGTACATGCGCATGCGCGAGCCTTGCATGTCAGTGTGGACGGCACCTTGAGATGTTAAAATAGGGAATTTTGCCCAGTTAAATCTTCCCTTTCCTTTTCTGCACAGCTTTAGTAACTGATTTTTTTTTTTTTTTTTTTTTTCGTCAATGGAATCTGCTTAATTTGCATTTCGTCAAACCTTATATTTTTTTTCTTTTTCTTTTTTCTTTTTTTTTTCCTTCTTTTCTTCTTTTTTGTGTGGCTTTTTTGTAAACACCTGTTTCAGAACATACTGTCAACGCTGTGAAATATTTCAAACAAATTAAAAAACATAGTTGCCATTATTCTTCAAAATGGGACTAGTGACATCAGGGCAGATCCAAGGCAAGATTATTTTACTGTTTCATTTTGAAAACAGAGACTTCTCAAACGGAAAACAGATACTAAATTTAAATCGTGTCCTAAATTTTAGCCATGCATTGACTTATAGCATCGCCGCCCGCAGAAGTTGTTTGAAGGTTCGATAAAATTGAAGCTTTTATAAATGTATATTTGACAAGATTCTCTAAAATGGAAGACATTGGTTCACAATGTGAATTACCCACAGAAACACCAGAATTGAATAAGTAATTAGCCTACAGGGACTACCCCAATACATTTTTCGCAATGAAAGCAATGTACTACTATATATATGCTTATATGTGCGCACAATAGTCCAGTTCCGAGTTCTCTTTGCTCAGCCTTAGTCTTGGTTGAGTGTATGTTATAATATTCAGCTATTCAACCAATACCCGTGGCATTTTAATCAACTCATATTGTTCCGTAGTGCGTACATTCCTTACAATACAATGGATCTTAATGAAAGAAAAATAAGACAATTGTACTCAATCGAGGCTAAGACTGAGAAAAGGCAAACTCGGAAGGGGAGTATTATTTCGAGTTACAGAACGGATAGCTAGATTTTGGTTAGCGACTGACGCATATGAATGCAAAATATTTCGCATGATGAACTCTTCATTAAGCGTGCGTAGCCGAAAAACCTCAATATGCTTTTCCTTAGTTAAACAAATCTCCTATTCATGTGATTTACTCTAGAATGTCTTATTGTTTACTATCAATCACGTGACTTTTTGGAGTTGACTGGGGGCCAAACAAGCGGTTGACTGAGGGGCAACTAGCGGATGTTAAGTCAAAACATGTCAAAATAAGTCTTCAAACTATTGTATTTGACTATTTCTACGACATGAAACCAGAAAACAAGAGATCAAAACAACCTCCAAGATTTTTCAAGCAATAAGCCTTTTCATAGTTTAAGAATCGATCCCACTGCGCATGTGATTTTATCCCGAATTTCTCACCTTCTTCTGACTAAACCTTCTTTTGTTCTTAATTAAACAAAAGAAGATGAGAAATTCGGGATAAAATCGCATGCGCAGTGGAATCGATTCTTAAAACTATGAAAAGGCTTATTAAAGACGCAGCTATAACCGGAAGTGACGTCGATAGTAAATGAATGAACTTACCATAATGCCGAGTTGGTTTAGCTTCACACATGAAACTAACAAAGATAATGCGCGGCTTTAAAACGCTGGTACAATTAGCACGCTCTTTTACAATTGAGCGCCGTTGGTATTTGTGAAGAGCGGTAGCCCGCTTGAAAATGACGCTATGCGCGCATGAAAAAGAACGTTCTTGCAAACAACTTGGAAGACGCGCCAAATTTCTCTTTGCTACTTATGTCTACTGAATGAAAATATATCCAAATGCTTTTATTGAACGTTCTCCGTTGTCTGGTTTGTTTTTCGCTTCGTTTCCGCAAGTATTAGTCCCATCCATGCCGTAGAATGTCCCCCCTGTACCGAATCCAATTCTAGAAGCGCTCGTGGTGCAGTTGCCCGGAAATCCAGTGATACCAATGCGAGCTGATGCTGTTTCTGGAGCTTTGTGCAGGATATTGAAACCTTGTACCGTACAAGCGGTCTGAAAATAAACACAAAAAATCAATGGCGTTTCTGATCTTTGCCTTTTAGCTTTGGTTGAATGTTTTGCCCATTTCAGACCATGTATCGTTCCTCTCGAGAATAAGATTCTTTGTTTAAGTTTTTATATCCATCATGTCTTCTCATGCGCAACCACTAATGTCTTTTTTTCGATATTCGATGCGTCTTTTTTACTCATATTAAAAACGATTTTCAAGAATAAAACTTTATAGAACTTTTACTTTTGCAGTGAAATATTTTGCGCAAAATCTTCATGACTAAGTGGATTAATCGTAAGGAAACGGTACGTGCCTTAAAAATTCATACATTACATCTGCAGCTCATTGAAAAATCTTTGTGTAGACCTTTCTCTTACCTGTAAAGACGAGCCGCGCAACAAACTTTTCCACTGACTGACATCCAAGTGTGTTTCTACTTTTCTACCAGGACTCCTAAATACCGAGAGGAGACTGTCTGCAGTGTAGTTGATAGCAATCCAACTGGTATTACCATCATGTTTCATGCCCAGGCACAATCTGGTAAACTTTGTGTACCAATATGTGGGTAAAAGGGTTTCTTTTTCCTTTAGGTCCACACCGTTATGGGATTTGTAAGGTGCCATACTTTCCCATAAAGTTGAATTGTATTTGAAAGTTTGCTGAAAGGAAGACGTAAGAAAGCGCATATAAAGATATGATTGTGTGCTTGGCGTGCGTGGCGTGGCGTTGCGTTGTTTTGTGTTGTGTGGTGTGGTGTTATGTTGTGCCGTGTCCTATGTTGTGTTGTGTCATGCCGCGTTTTCTTGTGTGGTGTAGTGTAGTGTTGTCTTGCGTTATGTCGTATCGTATGGTGTCGAATATGATCGTACCGTTCTGAGCTCAATAAATACCTAAATACACAGTGCCCAATGCTGCGCACAACAACAAAATAACCGCGTGCCAACCTTTGCAAATATTTCAAGCAACGTTACTCAAGTGATGAGGTCGAAATCTACTTCTGCAACATTGCGCGCAAAAATTTCGTCACGTCAACACTTCTAGAATTGCGCTGCTGACGATGGCAACCGCTGACCAGAAAATGTTAATATTAGGCTCGTTTTTTTACTTCATGTACCGTTCTTTGACGAGTGCATGAAAATGAGGCCACCCAGTCATCTTGCAAGGCTTAGCAAGGCTGCTCATTCATAATAAAGGTGGATAGCGCGAATTCAGGTCAAAACAAAAGGTCAATTTCTATACTTTTTTTCTATAAACGCATTTCATGTGCTTTTTATATCTTTTATTTTAAACTAATGATTGGGTGACCTCGTTTTTTGTGCACTTGTCAGTCATTATGAGGACGGTGTATACTTGCGTTACAGATAAAGTTGCTACTTGTGAAAATTAACTTTCACAAGTAGAAAACTGAAAAAATTAACTTTGTCGCCAGGAAAGTTGCACGAAATCGTTGCGCAGTAAATGCGGCAATGTATGCGATCATTGCGAAGTATGGAAGTTTCTTCGGCCTTATTATGATATTTAAACTACAATTTTAAAGTAAAAAGATAGCAATATCAAATAAAGCTGAACCTTGTTTCCATCCATCTTTATGACTAGCGTCCAGCCTCCCCCGCCACATCCGGGTATCTCAGTCATGTGACAGTATGTAAATGTCTTGTTAGGGAATGCATCCAAGTAGTAGGGTCCATCAGTAGCATCACTAGAAAATGATTAAAGAGAAGTGGAGAGTTTGAAAATAAAGTCTAATAGGACGTTTGCATGATGGTGTCATTTGACTCCCACTACCAAGATACTTCGCGAATTTTCTTTCTCATTTAAATTTGTATTCCCTCATGAGAATAGTAAGACAATTGGTACTAATTAACTAAACAAAAGAAAGTGTGCAAGGGAGTCTGGTAGTAGAGGTCAATGACGCCATCGTGCAAACGTTCTATTCACGAAGAAACCTTGCAGTCGATAATCAACATCTAAGAATTTCGCTAAATGTCCAATGCGCCAAATTAAATCGTAAGTTGTAGGTCCTTTGTAGTCATTGGGTTAAGGAATGGTTAAAAAGAAAATGATCCGACTATACGTTGTTGCATGAAATTTTAGATTTCCGCGATGTGTATATTTCATTTTCTCGATTTTACAAAATAATGCATTCCAAGTCRCTATAATTTCGCGCGGATCATATTAAATGAATCCGATACTATGAGGGACACTAAAAGTCTGTTTTTTCTTGAGTAATAAGATATACATCTATTTTTGAATTCCGCATGTTTTTGCAATTGATTTGTAGCCTCAGCAACCAAGAGTCAAGTTCCATGGAAATACTAATCATTCATAATTGGTTGAATCTATTCTCTCTTTTTGATTCGCTGAGAATGGAAGCCATTTTAATATCCCTATACACTACAGACAAACCTTCTCCGTTGAAGAATATCCTTACACGATTGGGCTGCGAGTTCTGGAGTATCGCCAACTCCTTAAAGATAGAAAAAATAAACATCTTATTGCACATTTTTGGTTAATTAAAAACGAACTTTCGCCATAATAAACTTTTTAAAAACGTTTTAAAGCTTTTGACTTTCTCAACAAGGAGTTCAAGAACAGCTCTTTTAGTATTTTTGACCTCTTCAATAACAAATTAATCCTTTTACTTTGGGCGTCACATTTTCCCATTTCAAAACTCTTTCATTTCCATTGATATTATTACTGACTAGCCTAGCATTCACCTGAGTCTTTGCCCAGAAAGAAATATAAAAGGAAAAATAAATAGAAAGAAAGTATATATGAAGAAACATTGCTGAAAAGTTCGTATGTATTCCTCGGATACAATTTGCCATAAGATAAAAAGGGTCCTAAGCTAAATCTCTGAGGAAACCTATAAACACACTAAAAAGAATAAGAAAGATAAAAAAGTTCCTAAGCTAAATCTTTAATGAAACCCATAAACAAACCACTAAACTTAAAGAATAAGAAAGATAAAGATAACAAGGGTCCTAGGCTAAATCCCTGAGAATCCCATCAAAAACGCTAACGATAAAATAAGAAATACAACCACATAAATAGGGTCCTAAGGTGAGTCCTTGAGGATATCCTTGTTTTTAGGATTAATTAATAGTTGATAGGTAATAATAGTTTACCTGGCTCATTGTTGCTTGTACACTGGTTGTCTGCACCACAGTTGCACGAACATTTCTGAAGAATGCGTCGACTCGCTAAACGACCATTTGTGACAGGCTAATATTCAAAATTAGTTCATATAGTTAATAAAATTAGTGATATAAAGACTCGAACTTTCCATTTGTTTTTTGAACGGCCTTCGCAATTTTTCCAACCATTTTGTTGAGCATGCGCAGTATGCTTATCCATTAGAGAGCCTGCTTTCCTAGTAGTCAGTTATATTTGTCGTCAAATATTTCAGATTTCGTTTCCTTAACACAGTAGCAGGTTGCCCCTTTTTGTACTGAGTGCCATTAAAAATGTTGGCTGCCTATCACTAAATCCGTAGAGAGCTCTAACGATGGCAAGTTAATGGCAAGAATCGAGTTACGATGTTGAATTTGGCATCCTTCGCGCCTTGACGTACTGAAAGCATACTTGACCATACTTAGTCCAGACCTCATAGACATCTTTTAAAAACCTTATCTTGACAATAAGAGAGAGGGAGAGAGATTCTTCACCCAAAACACTATATAATCGTTGTAGGAAATGTTCTGTCTGGAAACTGTCCTGTCTAATGTGTTTCTTGTCATAACATGAGCAAAACTAAACAAAAGTAAGGTGTCAGTAGGACGTACGAAGGTGACATGTCCTTCATACTAAACGTAAATACAATTTTCTGTGAGTATACATTGCCGTTATATCTTTATTAATTGTTCATAAGTGATAGATATTGAGGCGACAGTGGCCACTAACCATGGAAATTATATTTATTTAATTAAAACGTACACTGAAAAGAAAAAAAAAATCAGAATATTTTTTTTGCGATTATGAACTACCGAGGTAGTAAAATAAGGTAATTTGTTGTTTCATTGGTTTTGGAAAAAGGAATTTATCAGAAGGAGGATTCATAAGACTTTGAATTCACGATAAATAACGTACTGAAGCAATCAATGATCGCAATCAATGACAATCTGAGACCTTTCATCAAATTTCATCAAAAAAATTACGAACGTCAACCTCAAATATAAGAAGATATAACTAGCTAAAAACTAGTGTGAGCTGCGTCGGTGTTTCTAATGAAACAGTAATGATGAAAAGGTAAATTATACACCGTGAAAAGATGAAAAAACTTACTGACGTTTCGGACGCTAGTCCTTCGTCGGAGTAAAAGAGGAACCTCAAATATAGTTATTTTTTATAGCGATTCTTTTCCATCCTAAAAGATAAGAACACTACGAGAGAGATTCTTTAAGATAAAAACAAATTAGTCAAGAATCAATCGAAACAGCTTTATTTGTACTTAATCTTTCTTTTAAATTTCGTTTTTCTCTTCATCAATAATGTACTTGTACTCGACTAAGTAAGCACAAACTTGAGTTCAGTTTCGAATTACCAATTATTCTATTATTTTCTTGCTCTTTCTCTTCGCTTTGAATCTTTTATGAAGGTTAAGTAGATAACTGCTCGAGTGTTTTGTCTGGTTTTTGCAGTTTTGGATGACTCAAACCAGACGGAAAAAGCTCTTTTTTCTTAAACTGAAAAGAAGCTAAAAGCGACGCCCTGTACATGTCTCGGCTTGATTTTCAAGCACAAAAAGTTCTACCAAAAATAAACTAAACCTAATGATAAATGATATACCTAAACAGTTTCGTTTTGGCTTCAGTATTTTGGACATTTTATTACCGACATTTTATTACCGACAACTAACTATTTTAAACGGCTTAAAAAGGATAAAATCAAACCATAATTAGAAATGGAATCGAAAGATAAGAGAGAAAATCAACTTTCAAAAGGTTTTCGCAAAGTACTGTCATGGACGTCAATGATTTTTTTGATTATATATTTTATAGTGTTCACAAGAAATTCATACCTAGTCATTCTCAATAGGTTTCTATCATATGATAAGACATAAAGTAATAATTTTTCATTATTTTCCTGGGTCAATAAGATTAGTAAGGAATGGTGAGGTTTTTGAGTTTTACAGTATCAATCCAGTCCAAGAGAGTTCTCAGAGAGAATTTAAGCTTATAATTTGCAAAAGGTAGTCAAAAAAAATTGGATTAAAGTGACGATGAAACGAAGTCATTTGTGTTTTTTAATATTAAACGTTAGCTAAGGTGGTCTTTTATCTATTAATAGTCAAGTTTAACGGAGAGTGTGGACCGTACCTTAACTTGTTGAAAAATATATGGACTTCCACTGTGCAGTACATCTTCAGCCATACATGCATGCTCAATTCCATGATGATTAAGCTGGCAGAAATTCTTTCTGGTGTGGTAATTGTAAGAGACGCATTCACTGTGTTCCTGGCATTTCATTAAGCAACCAATCCAGTCAGTTTGAAAATTTTCTTGAATCTGATATCCAAAAAGAAATTTTTCTTTGATAGTGAAACTTGCGTGGCCTTCGACACTCGTAGAATACAAGAAGACGACGAAATATAACACCGAAGTCGTGTAGAGGGAAAGCGTTTTCCTGGCATGTTTTTCCATGCTGATTGTGGTCGACGGTAAACTCATAGTCTAAACTTAAAGCAACATGGTGAAAGAGATAGTGATATCTTTAAATAAATAACAGTGTTTTTAGATTGACCTTATCACGAATGCTTTAAATATAACTACAATTTGTGGTGAGGATAGAATGAGATTCAGCCAATCAAGACAAGACGAGCGAAAATCGGGTTCGCGTTTGTTTAACTATGAGCAAGAGTACGTAGATATATATTACTGTGAGCTAGACGATCGAAATTCATTAAAGCTCAACTAAAAGGCAAGCAGTGTTCTTAAATCTTAATTCGTGCTGCAAATCTTTTCGGAAGTGGACGTCACAGGCTGTACGGCTACTTAAAGGGCCTTCTAGCGCATTGCGTAAAGGTTCATAGCGCATTTTCGACAAATCACTTAATAGAACCTACATTATTTACAAATCCATCAAAATTATTAATACAAGAATTTTATCGCTGTTTGCTTACTTATGGGCGGCACTTTGAAGGTTCAAACGCAAATGTGCAAGTAATTTCACAAACTCTTATTAATATACATTAGGGGAGGTTAATATGATATGTGAAATTCATGTGAATATTATGTTCCTTTTTTGATTTTGTTATGATGCATTAACCGTGCGCAAATGATACACTTCCTCCATGGTTAATGCCTGCTGGCTTTACTTTTTCATTTCCTAGAAAGCCCCAGGAAATGACGAAAATAACATGAGCTTGATTTTTTCACTTAAGATAATAAGTAAACTTCGGTTATCGTCGAAGAGGATGATGTAAAGCTTATTTCATAAAGCGCTTAGTCTTTTACGTATTAAGCGTTTTAAGAGAGAGATCACATAAGTGGAGATTCGACTAAAATTATATCAACTACGTAAAAATAGAAAAGTGCAGAAAAAAAACTATGAAATAAAATAACTATGAAAAAYAAGTCAGAGAAAAATAAGACAAAGTATTGTATCACCAGCGGCAGTATGGAATATTCGGACTTGTTTTAAAAAGTCCACTTCAGACGTTGAACGTTGCTTTCGAAGGCAGTGGTTTAGAAAACGCCAACAACTATTTTATAATACAACCGTTCATTTTCTTTAGCGCCAGAAGGCATTTGTTAAGATAGGTGTTCTATATACTTCTACTAGTTTCGACGAAAAACAGCGCTAGACCTCTTTGGCAATTAGACTCGACGCGCCACATGAAAAGTTTGACGTCTGAACAGAACAGTAGTGTCCGTAACCACAATTAATTTTTTGGGGTAATAAAACCGTTTCATTTTGTTTAAGAGGTTGTGATGTCATTGGTTTTGTGCCGCCGGCCTTTTTAATATTTTAGAAAACAAACTTTGGTTTTGAACTCAGAAGACTTTTGTTTCTGTATCAATTAGAAACTGGACGAAATTTGGAAGAAAGATACTAAATGAAAAAGATAAATTGGGGGGAAAATCAGCATTGAAATAGTGCATGGATGAGGAAAAATTTCCATGCGACACGACCGAATTGAACGATGAAAATTGTTTTTGTAAATGAGCAGAAAGAACTTTCTTTGCCCATCATGCATTATAAGGTCTTATTTATAAGGAAAACAAAGACTCACGGAACAATTTACAAGAACAGCCTTGGCATGGTATGTGGTCTTAACTCATTTCAGTTATTTTTTGTCAATTTATTCAATAGTCTTAGACTAAGAGTGATAAATCATAGCGTCCACCAACTTCATATTGAACACGACATGGGGTTTCTTGGTTAATAGGAAGAAAAATTCTGGAGTGTGATGAATAAAAGGTGTTTATCCAAAGTTATATTAGTGCACCATATTCTCTAGAGGAGATTTCGTGTATGTCTAATAAGGCACACGGCACGGTCAGGAAGCGTCAGCAAGATTGACTGTTCAGCCAATTAAAATGCTTGAACTGGACGACTTGACGATCCGAAAGCTTATGTCCCTGCGAGTTATTCTGGTCCACCCCTTAAAATGTTAGTTATGCATGCGCATTTGTATGTGAGAAAGACAAACATTCGTGACACCAGAAAAAAATTAATGTATTAAAAATTTAATTATCCTAATTAAAAAATGTTCAAAATTATTTTTAAAATATTGAAAATGAATTATACTCTTAGAATATTTATGGAAGGTTGTACTTCAGGAATTGTAGATTTATTGTTCATCAGTTTGTTTTTAGTAGAGCCATTGTTACCAATCCTAAAATGAAATGAGAATATGTAAAAGAATTAGTGGGAAAGAAATTTTGGGAATGGAAGGGAATATCTGTAGGGTGTGCATAATATGATTTGAGGAAATTCAGATAATACACTCACCTAGAATGAATGCTGCCACAAGTTTTTGATTGACAGACATGTGTAAGTAACTAGGCAGCCTAGAGGAAGCGCTTTCACCTTGAAGGGGGAGCATGACGGCAGCAATACACGCGATGGCTAGTAGTACTACCCAGAAGCTTGGGGTATAACCTGTGCCTGTATGATATAATAAAGTATCTAAATCAAGCGTGTTGCTATGGGCAACATCAACCTTAAAATTGTTAATGAGAGAAGTATGTTGTATGGAAGAGTGTAGTTGCCATGTGCAAAATTGAGTGAAAAAAAGCAAAAAGTGAGGCAAAGATGCTATGGAAAATATTGGTATAGGAATTAGCTACCTCGCTGATGTTGTTGCAGTGTGAAGCATTTTGATATGAACAACAGTTTTCTTTAGACTGATTCCATAAGTCAGTGTTTTTGCTCTTCTGTCTATTCTGGATATCGCTCACACACCACTAGTTGAGCAGCCACAACCCACAAAGGAGAAAAAACTATGACTTATGGAATCAGTCTACGGTTTTCTTATATTAGAATTGCTGTTAAAGAAGTATGCCTAGATTGCCCTGATTTTGAGATTGAGGAAAATCAGATGGACAAAAAAAACGAGTATATTTCCAAACAGGTTTTACACAGAGCATGAAGAAACTAAATTTCATGGTCATGTGAGTGTTGTCCAGCCTAATCGTAAGAGCAGATGTATATTGGACACTAGGTAATGTACACTATCACAAGAATAATATACTTTAAAGTCAAAACGTTGTACAAACAAAGTAAGTTGTCATGTAAAGTAAAATGTCATTGTTAAGTAACTAGATTGACGACAATGACATACTGTAATGACACCTTTGCCTTGTCTGACATCAGGACATGCTTTAATGGTACTCTTGACACGTACCATTTTATGTGCCAGTATATTTCAAGAGATGCAAGAGAGAAGATCTTACCATGGTAGCATACCATGAYGCTATTACTACTTGCTTTAATGGTATTCTTGACAGTGTTTGATTTAATGTACCATGTTATTTGCCATTACATTTCTAGAGATTTTTATACCATGGCAACCACCATGACGTTACTACTATTTGCTTTAATGGTACTCTTGACAGCTGTGTTTGATTTAACGTACCATGTAAGGTGCCAGTTAACAGTATTTCAAAAGAGGCAACAGAGATCTTAGCACTAGTGACATCATTACTACTTGCTTTAAACAAAGAAATGATACCCTACATAATGAAATGTGGTCTGAAATAGGAGACAATGAAACATGATTTATAAGGCGTACTATTAAGGTGTACTTAATCTCACCATGATAAGGAACAGCATCTTGGAATACTGCAGCTTTATTTTCTATTCTGCTTGATCTGTCAGAAGGCTTTGTTGATTTCTCTTTCTATAGAAAAGAGAAAATAAATGGATAGATAGATAGATAGATAGATAAAAAAATGAGATGGATGAATGGATGGATGAGAACAGTCTAAGTGGATAGATGGAAGCTGGGAAAACAAAGATGGGTGAATGAATAAATGGACAGACAGATGAAATGATGGTGGATAGGTGATAGAATAAATGAATGGTTGGATTAACAGATTCCTAGAATTAAAAACAGCTATAATAAACTACAGGAAAGCTTTGGTTATAAAAGAATATAGATGTGGCACAGAACTTTAATTCTTAGGACATACTTGCATAAGAGAGACCATTGCATCTTACCTCGGTGCCTACTCTACTTGAAAGAATAACGGAAGGAATTTCCTTTCTTCCTAGAATCTTATCAACACCATGCTCAAAGACCTGTAGCCTGAACTTGTCTTGTTGGTTGATGGGAGTAGAGTGGATTGCTGTATGGCGTATTACTCTGAAATGCAAAGGTATATAATCAATATCCACCAGGTTTTTTTAGGGAATCAAGGGTAGCATAGAAGTAGTACACTTGCATCTCACCTCTGGGGTCTTGGGTGTAATTCCTGGACTTGGAATCACATGTGAGTAGAGTTTGTTAGGTCTCTCCCTTGAGGACTTTTTTTCAGTTTTTCTCCCTCCACAAAAACTAACATGCTAAATTATAATGATCTGTGAGTTAGGCATGCCCTGATTTTGATTAGGCCAGAGGTTGTTTCAGGGTTTGATCTGTGAGTTAGCCATGCCCTGACTTAGATCAGTCCAGAGGTTGTTTCAGGGTTCAATCTGTGAGTTAGCCATGCCCTGACTTAGATCAGTCCAGAGGTTGTTTCAGGGTTTGATCTGTGAGTTAGCCATGCCCTGACTTAGATAAGTCCAGAGGTTGTTTCAGGGTTTGATCTGTGAGCTAGCCCTGCCCTGATTTTCATTAGGCCAGAGGTTGTTTCAGGGTATAAGATTTGCACAATTTGTTTTGCACACACAATCTTGATTTCTACACTATGATTATCATTGCATACATTTTCTAACAATATTTAAATTTGAACATACATATCAACACAGCATCGTGGTTTGATAAGACCCTCTGCATCCACAACCAGATAACGGCTTGGTGCTGTACATAAAACTGTCAAATAAATAAAGCTTGATTAATTTTGACAACTGGTAAAGTAAGTAGTGACCTTTGTTGTGACCAAAGGTGGTCTAGAAGTAATGCTCTCACCTGAGATTTTGTGTTTGAATGTTACACCTCGTATTTAACTCCCTCGTTTAATAGTTTTTCTCTAGTTACAAGATATACCCAATACACTAGATTTAAATTCAATCTGTGAGTACATTGGTCATTAAAATTCCCTAACTTTAATCAGTCAGAAGGTTGTTTTAGGGTTTGCCATTCCCTGACTTTGATCAGACAGGAGATTATTTCAGGGTTCAAACAATCTGTGAGTTAGCCATTCCCAGAACATGATTGGTGAGGAGGTTGTTTCAGGGTTAATAAAACTGTTTTTTTCCCTTCAGTTACAACACAAGCAGGAACAAAAAAATACAGAAAACAAATAGGTGGGTTGAAAAACAAAGTCCTTAAGTTCTTGGTTTTATCAATAAATTATTAGAGCTTCCAATTCAATAGTGGTTATTACCCAGAAACAATTCAATATCATTTACAACATTTCATATTATAAGGCTATACAGCTCAAAAAATATAGTCAGACAGCTTTGTATTTCTTGGCAGTCAGACAACTAATCCTTAGTAGTGATATTTCACCTGCCGTTTTACTTGTATTATTAATTCGAAAATATTTTTGGAAATCGTTATTTTGGGCAAAATTTGCCCATTGATGGCCAGTTGGGTGGATCTATTTCAAACTCTGAAATACCTAGATCTAGACAAATATTTGATTGCTGGTTTTACTATAAATCCTTATTATACCTTAACTAATGTTTAAAGTACATACCTTTAAACCTAAGCACAAACTCATAGGGGTTGTAGACAGTCAAGATTTGCTTGTGGGTAGACTGGTCCTTGACGTAGAAATTTAAGGTGTTGGGGAAAACAAACACTGGAAGGGAGCCATCAGTGAAGTGCGATGACTGCACTGACCTCATACAGCCACAAAACTGTGGCAACAACACCTATGGCTTTCTTGGTTATGTGGTTACCTAGGATACAGATATCAGCCAATCAGATCTTTTGATGGTAAAAAAATAAGCTTATAGGCTTTGTTAAAAGATTCCTAAAAATCTTGAAAAAAACAACAAATGAATGAATAACTGTAAGATTATATACCCTCGTATTCCTTGAGAATTTATTAACGAAGAATAAACAGAATATATTAGAAACTAAACAAAATTCCATTTAAATGTTAGTGTTAGTAAAGGAATCTTAAGGTTTGTACTTTTAATTCAAATTTTACAAGATGTTTTGAGTATTTCAAAGCTTTCTTTTAGAATAAATGGAACTTGGATAAAAGATATTAATCTACATGTTCTTATCTTATTGAATTACAAACCTGTTGTTCTGAAAACTAGTATTTTTTTTATGCATCTGACCAAGTTTTATTTTCTGGCTAAAGGAAGCCCCACTTACCTTGGTGTACCTTGAGTCGAATATCGTCGGGGTTTTCAGCAAAATGGCATTTTCGAGGAGCCTTTTTCGATGGATGCAGATTGATAGATCTATCTAAGGTTAAATTATAGAGGTTTTATTGCTATTCTTGTCTCTTTTTTGCTATTTTCTGCTCTGACTTCACGCTTTCAAATCAACCATTTTCTTTTGTTGTTGTTTAACTCAGCTGTTTACTCTCGAAGCATGCTGGGATTATGACATCACGTGTTCTCTGGACAGACAGACAAATAAAATATCCAGCGATTCCCCCCCTACCCCAACCAAAAAAGGCACGGCGATGATGGTGCGTTTTGTTTTAAGCGTATTTTCGCTTTTCACTCCTCTTTTCCTGCTTTAGAGGGTGCAGTTTGTAGAGGGTAGAGATAAGCAGAATAGACCAAAAAATAAAGACATAATAGTCAAGGGAAATACAAGGGATGCAATCCCTCGATTAAGTTCAAAAATCATTGCCTATCCGCACCTCTGTGTAGTCAAAGTGAACAAACTGCATATAACAATCACTTATAATCTTTTCTGTTTTGTAATCCCTGTGTAGCTCAAGCCCTGCTCAACAACATGGCGTCTCCGTTTCTACGTAACTTCTGTAACTTCCAAYACATACAGCTTTTTATTATGCTACTTTTATTTCAAGGTACGTTATTTTTCCCCAAAAACTGAAATCATTACATATACCAAGAGAATATGAACTAATCTTTCTCTTGCATATACTGATTGATTGTGCTAATACAAGTGCGCTATATGACTGAAACACTAACGCAAGAATTGCAAATATTTTTAATACAAAAAATCGTTTACTAAAAGCTATAAAAAAAGCAATTACGTTTTTTCGCTATTTGAACATGAAAGCTTAGGAAACATTTCACTGAAATGGCTTTAAAAAAGCGGGAATAAGAATTTGTGGCGTTTATAAACTTACAAAAGATATAACTATTGAATAAAATCAAGTAAAAAAAGCCAATAAAGTTGATCTACTTGGGAGCTATCTATTGCCATATTAAAATATTATAATCCATATCTTTTATTTTGGCGTCGCGTCTGACTAAACTACTGATTAAATAAACGTGCATCCAATTGTATCTAAACTTTATACACCACCAAAAGTTCATGAACCGGAAAGTTTATATACTTTATTTTGGATTTAGTGAACTATACGAATTATTACTTGAAATATCACTCTGTAGGAGAGTCCACCTCTATCAGTTTCACTTCTTCTTCAGCCATTTCTTCAACGTTTTCTTCAGCAACTTCTTCGGATTCTTCTTTTTCAGGCTTTTCTTCGACGTCTTTTTCAACGTCTTCTTTACCGTCTTCTTCAGCCTCTTCTTTGTGTTCTTCTTTGACTTCTTCTTCAGCTTCTTCAGCATCTTTGTCCTTGTGGCTTTCTTCGTGGCAGTTTTCAAGGCCGTTCTCTTGGTTATCGTCTTTCACTTGTTCCTCTTGTTCTTCATCTCCAGCAGCCTTTCCCTCTTCTTCCAAGCCATTCTCAACCTGCTCTTGCTCGATGTCATCTTCTCCAATGCTATCCTCTGGATTGTCTCCATAGTCTTCCGGAATATCGGAACTGTTTTCCGAATCCCTGTCTTCGGCCGAGTCAGCTGCTACAAGCGTTAGTCGATTAATTATCAGAATTAGCAATGATTACGTTAGTTGTATCAAGCAAAATTATTATTAATTAAAGAATTTTAGGCTTTAAAATAATGTTATTATTTGGATTAGTGTGATATGTATTTTATCGTTTGTTGCGTTACATTAGGATGACATGGGTGGCGTATATAATGGTCGAGTTCGGTCGAGTCCCGTCTCAGACTGGATCATATATATGAGTTGAGTTTATGTTTGATGCGTTATTCTGTCGTACGGCTACGAGAGTTTTCTCCGGTTTACTCCCTCCATAAAAATCCACATGTGAGTTGAGTGCTGTATGTTGTGAATATAGAATGTAGTAGTAGTGCGTGTGGAGGGGACCCCAAGCAAATGCCCCTTGCGGAGAATGGTGAATGGTTGTAAAATGTGTCTTACATTATGTTGCGTTACGTTCGTTACATTGCGTTAGTCGTATTGTTAAGTTGTGAAATGACCTTCCAAATTAGTAAAAAAATAGAGGTGCTTCGTCAAGTAGATGTTTTCTCGTCAACTAAAGTTACTGATGTTTCGTTAATGTTTCTTTTCGTTATCTCGCGTTATCATAATCGTTATAGGTAGCGTTTTCTTCGTTAGAATGCGTTATTATCGTTATTATGCATTGGTTGGCCGTTAATGTTTTCAGTGTCCTCAAATATCAACCTACCACTTATAACATGGTTAGCTGTCGACTGACTTTCTTCGATTTTCTTTGTAAAACGAGCAACACCTTTCATTGCTAAGAGGTTTTTTTTCCAAGGCGGGAGGGATTCCCATTCTTGTTTTTCTTTTTCTTGCCTCAATCGCATTTGCCGTTCTTCTTCTTCTTTTTGCTTCTGCAGGGCTTCTTTTTCCTTGAGAATTTTTACTTTCCACGGCGGAAGCCCAACCCATTTATTTTGCTCTTCTTTTTCTTTTTCTTCGATTTTCTTTATTTGTTCCTGTAAAGTGTAAAAGATGAAGAATTGTTTGAATTGAATTGCTAACCCGGCATCCTTTCAGGAAAGAGACTTTGATATATAGGCGGCCTCGGAGTATGAAGTCTTCATTTAACTCACTTGAATTAAGGCCAAAAACTAAAGCATTAAGCACGCAGGTGGTGGGCTTGTTTCATTRCAAATGTTTATACGAGCTGTATGAATTCAAACTAATTTCAATTTGTGCGTCATGATGGACCAGAGACCGGCTGAAAGTGGGTCATCTTTTCAACGTTGCAGACGCTTCTTTAAAGAAATCTCCCTGATATATTTCCATTTAGAGAATCAGTTCCAGCCAGAACGACATTTTTACTGTGTTAGTATAAATTGTTGTTTAATTGAAATATCTTTTTCACGCTCATGCAGTAAAACAAGACACCACCAAGACATACAGTTATTCACCTTGATTCTTTCGTTCTCCTTCAGTATCTTATCTCTTTGCCACTTTGGCATATCTCTTGTGATCTTCTTAAGTTTCGGCTTCTCCATCACTCCATTCTGCTGTCCATCACTAAAATTATTCGTGGGGGGTCCTTGAGAGAGAAACGTAAATATTACCATTTATGGTTATGTCTATAGGTAGTCCTAGGGTGGAATACTTCTCACATGCGTGGACAAATTTGATTCCGGGGGCGTAATAAGCTTTTAGACAAACTTGGGACAAAAACTTATTTTGAAAATTTTTGTTTGGGAATGTTCAAGTTTGGTACAATTTTGGCGAACTAACAAAAACAAATTAATCCTGGGTATTATCATGGTTATTCACTGGGCAGGATATCCGACAGGAATGTTTTTAACTACTATTGAAAAGAAGAAAAAAAAGAAAGAAAACGTTTCCAGCAGAGAAGGAGATCGAAAGTTACACAAACTATTTTCGAACATTTTTGAATTCTCACGTCATACATATAATTCTAGCTTTCTATTACGAGAGAGAGAGAGAGAGAGAGAGAGAGTATCCGCGCGTTCTCAATGATTCAATGAGCATATTTCTTAAAAATTTTGCCTGAATTTTAGTCTATTTATCTTTTCATTTTTCCCTTTCAAATTTTCGATTTTTACGAAACATTCAATTCAATTGCGATCAAGGGAGTCGCTACATTTGCATTTCTACCTAAGCAAAGTTTGCATTGAACTTTTCTGCAACTAGGCTTTGTTTTAAACGCTTCAAGTTTAGCAGTAAAATTTTATTTGACACTTTTAACGTGAATATCTAAGGAATTATCCTTGCAGTCATATGACAGGACTTCGTTTTCTTTTGTCTTGTTATTAATGAAGCTTTTCGTAGAAATCCCAAAATATTTGAGACCAAACTTCTAATGTATAGTTCTTAGTTAAAGTTACAAATTCGTATAGCAAACCTGTGAAAACTCTTCCAGATATTCTTTTTAAGAAAATTTTGATACAAAAGCCAGTTTTTTATAATTCCTATTGAATTCTGATCTCAATAGCGATAATCTTGAATTCCAGACTTTATTAGCTATGGGCAGCTGTCGTAGGCTCGAAAAACAATTACAACTTTCATGAAAGTTTTCTTCCTTTTTCTCTTCCATTATACTACTACATATCAATTCAAATTTAAGTTTTTCAAGCTGCTAGTTATCTCTCTTACGTTAATCTAGTAGTTTCAATTAAAGATATTAAAAACTCGCTGCTAGCGCCCTCACTGTTACATATACTAATGTAGCTATGCGTTTTTCGAGTTGTCATCGCACGCAACTTCCAACAACTTGCCACCGAAATCAAAGCCAGATTTTGATGTTCTGAGCTAGTTTATTTATAAACTAACTGTCAATATACGTATATATTTAGGTTTATTAATTAAAAACTCACCATTTCTGGAGGAATTCTCATTCTTGTTCGCCTGCTCCTCGAAAAACCTGATATGCTCCATGCTAGCTTCCATCAGTGACGTCGGTTTCTAACGGCTTAAAATAAAGAAAAATTCGGTACCTTGACAGGAACAGAGTCTAAACAATACAAGAGGTGCTTCTTGTTAGATGATTGGATGGAATAGCTGGGAAGTCGTCGTTAAAACGATCTTAAGGGTAAAACACCTGGCTTTACTTTGCCTTCGTCCAAAATATTCCGCAATATATGTATTTCAACAAATTAAAAGAATCGCATCGTCTGTAGTTGCCCTTTTTGCCTTATTACTCACCACACAGCCTTAAAATTTTGCTTTTTAGGGTTTCTTATACGAAAATACAGAGCTGATTTCCTTTCTTGGATGTATGGCTGCTTTACGCTGCTACTTCAAATGTAACCTTTGTTCAAATATGCACTGATAGATACGGTACAAACCAAATGAATATTTGATAAGCAAACGAAAGGTCCTTGAAGTTTCGCTAATAGGGTTCATTGTCCGCCTGAACTAATAATATTCATGTAAATTTATCTCCAAGAGAGAGTAAAAGAATTCACCTTATTTTAAAGGTAACTTAAAAATTATCCTTCACAAGTTTTGGTATGCAAAAATTGTAAATTAAACGCAATTATCTTCGGGTTTTGTTATGACGATTCTCATGTCAGTTTTCTGCTTATTACGCGGTAACTCATAATCGAAATAGATCATTTGTGAGCGCATTATGGACAGCCCCTTCTTCTAACATTGTCCAATACTAAATCAGCTCTGTTTATTTGACTTGTCACAACTTTTGAATGGTTTTAAAGGGACTCCTGTTGAGTTTCTAGAGAAGGCAAACCTCTTCATGACCACTCGCCCAAGATTACCAATACCCATCACGTATATACATCAATTTGCAAAATCCTGACTTCTTAGGAACACAATTTTTTGCCTCTGCCGGTGATTTGATTCCCCTGAAGGAATGAGAACAACCAACCTAGCTAATCGGCAATTTATTTTTGCATTTTTTTTGTCGACCTCACGCATGCGCAATCAATACTTCGCTCTCCCTTCTTAAGGTGGCTCTGACTATTTCAATGAAGACTATAGAAAACGCGCGCGTGTGCTGTGTACAGTTATAAAGCACGCGGGGGTTGGCAGGAACGAGAGAAGTGTCAGGGGAAGCACGATGCGTAGCGGAGTGCTTCTTGACACTTCTCGAGTGATCTGCCAATCCCCAAGTGTTTTATAACTCCACACAGCACAGCAAGCCAGTTTTTTATTTCTTTTATAAAACACAAATTACACGAATGACGAAACTGGAAGTGCGCGCGAGTGCTGTGTGCTCTCATAAAGCACGCGCTCCCAACCAATCAGTACGCGAGATTTAGAGCAGTTATTTTATAATTGGTATCTTTTTCCAAAACCCGTCCCACATGGACAGGAGTGCCTATGAATGTTAACTCATCAGCGACACAAGCGAAATAACGGGTTTGCTGGTCATAGCAAGGGGTTAATCATCTATGGTCTAGGGGCCGACTAACTTCTCCCTTAGGCTTTTGCCGAGCTTCCTGATCAGTCTGTAAGTCCCCCCAGGATAGCGGTGTTGGGGCCGAAATCTCCAGCGTAGCCGTAAATCTATACGACGGTTCAGCACTCGAGGTCTGGAAGTATGGACCTGTTTATTTTGAATCAATGAACATACTCCATACCACCTATAGAAACTGAATTGGGTATTGCGAAAGACTACGAAAAAGTATAACAAAACTATAAATATAAATATATCATTTGTAAAGGGGTTTGCTATTATAACTCTCCACAAAAAACCGCTTCAATTTCTTTCATTCCATACGTGGAGTGATTTGACACCCCCCCCCCCCTACGAAACAAAAATTATAAGTTATTGAGTGATAATCGAAAGAAAACAAAAGAAAAATTCGGTATGATTATACAGACCATGAAGCATCTTTATCAAGAGGATGATATAAAATCGCTGTTACTTTGCGCACATACTGTTTTATCTTGACGGCAGGTCAGTTGTAGAGCGCCTAGTTTAGATAGAAGTGAAAAATAATAATAAGAAACAAAAATAAAAAAATAAAAAAACAAAAATAATATTCGAAAAAGTTGCTTGCTTTCAAAAGCGCACACATTAACAAAGGTCGCGCATTAAATTAAAAATATACAAAGACGCTAATTTCGATATAAATTTATTTCAGAAGCGCATCAAGTTATATTAATAACTATTATAGCATACACAAGTTTCAATTGCAGTCAGTCCTCGACTGTTGAGCATAAAAAGACGGTCAAAACAGTTCAAGTGTAGAGTTCACTATAGAAATACATTGAATTAGTTTTTCCAATTTTTATCTGCAAGCAATAAAAGCAAGCTTTAGGTATCGATCGGATATATCTCAGAAATCAAGTACAAGTCCCACATCCGAAAAATAGAAAAAACCGTGGAGGTGTATATTGAAAAAAGATAAATCCAACTCCTTCAAAAGTCGTCTATTTTATAGTAGTTGCAAAATCAGTTTTAGCCAACATTTAGACATCTTCTCTTATTTACACAACCTTGTACGCAATAGTTCAATCTCTTACCCCCCTGACGTCCTCAGTTTCGTGCGCCGGGGCCTAATTAACACACAATAAACAATAATAAGATATTTGAACTATGATAAACTAATCTTTGATAACCTAGCTCCTGTTTAATTTTACTACGTTTATATATCCATTAAAATATTAGTATTTTTACTGTTTAAATTAAGTCGGTAAGATATAAAATACGGGTAAGCCAATCAGAATGCTATGAATAATGGGAAAAGCAATTTCTACAAGCAAGGTAATCTAAAATTCAAAATTCTTACATTTCTCCTTGGGGCAATTAAGACTGTCTGTCATATATGTCATTAGACCTCACTCATATATTACTATGTATTAATCTATATGAATCTATCCGTTGCTATGGTTACTAGCATTATGAAATGTAAAGGTGCCCACTGACTTTTTTATACCTCAATAGACCACTTCAGTATCTTTTGTATTGTTTCTCTATGTCATGTATTACATTGATTTTAGATTGACTGAGAAGTGTTTACATTCATACAAAGGAATGACTAGAATATCAGCCAATTAATTGTTTCCTCCACCTTTACGTCGCAGGGTAGAAGAGAAGTGTCCATTCATATGCTGTCTAAAACCCTAGTCTTGTCGAAGCTCTTCCTTTGTAGAGAAAGACAGAATGGAAAATGTCCAACCCAGTCTCACATACAAAATGACCAATAAGGTCAACCGGGTATTTCCTCAGAAATTTGAGAAGACTTTTCTATAGTGCAAACCATATATCCATGAAGAAATAGCAAAAACTAAATAGCACTGAATATTCTTTTGTTTTCAATAATTTTCATTGGCGCTTTTTTGTAATAATTAGTACTTCATGTACTTCACGGATATATGGTTTGCACTCTAGTATATACTATAGTATACTATAGATTAGACTTTTTTTGATTGGATAGGATTTTCTGGGTTGAATCTACCAGAGTATGCCACGTTGTGGTATCCGCCACTTGTCCTGTACATTGACTTGGGAGTTGGTGCAATGGCTGCCATTAGATCTCCACTGATATCATTAATCAGGTCATCTTCTTTCCTGTGAGTTAAGAAATATAACAGACATGAGTAATCTAAGCAAAATTGGGTTTAGCCTGCGTAGTGGTCCACGTGGGATGGGGGAGGGGCCTCACAGCTCCCCCACCCCACCCCATCCCCTAGCCCCATCCCCTAGCCCCATCCATTTTAGGATGCTACACAGGCTAAATCAGGCTATCCCTCACTTAGCCTCTTCAGAAAGTGTCTGTCTTTGCTTTGAATTTTTATTTGGTGGGTTACCTGTGGTGGACTGAGGGAGACTGAGCTGAGTAAATGAGGCCTCCCTTCTTTATACAGGGATCCCAAGCACCCAAAAAAGAAGAGAGATCTGTTAACTACATGGGCAGTGGCATATATATACATAAAGGAACAGGAACTCCTTGGGCTATGGAAAGAGCCATTTAATCACAAAGGGCTTTTCTGTTATCTAGATATTATATCTCTAGAGAGCAAGGCTCCTCCTATGTAAAAGCACAAATAATTGGGATTAAAAGCAGATTAATGATGCACCTTGATTGGATGTGCTTGACAGGTGGCCTAGATCTTCTACATTTACAGCAGACAACAATAGCAGCCATAATAAGACCAACAACAGCACACAGAGAACCAATGGTGACAGCAAGATTGGTACTTGTCTCAAGGACCTTGTCTGAACTAGAATCAACATTGCTCTTCTTGCATAGGGATACTAAGTCCCCGAATAGTCCTGTGACAAAGGTATCGTGACCTGCAAAAGACCAAAGGTATATTAAAATATATCTGAATTTTTATAGAGGTTTTTATCAATATCACCTTTGGATTTTACAGTCCTTGTAAACGGCATGTAGAAAATAGTACCATTTACTGTCACTGTTACAATCTGTCATCCATCAGTTTTATTACATCCCTGGAAACTGTAACTCTTTTAATGCACTTTCATTTATTCATTATTCATTTATTCCAATCACACATGCAAAATCCTATACRATTTGCTAACATGTGACAAACTTGGTTTTGGTGGACGTCAATCAAGGTGCTTTCACAACATTCCATAGGCACATGACCTTAAAAACTTTGTTACTTTATGACAATGTCCTGGAAACAATTTGATTGACGTACACCAAAACCTTACTTTGTCAATCCAAAAAAATGTGTGATTTTGAGCATGTACTATGATTTGGACAGCGATGTTATTTTGGGCTGGGCTTTATAGATTTGCAATCATCTTATAATTAGTAAAATTATGAATTATTCATTAATTATTACAGGAAAATCATATTTACCAAGTTCAATGACATTCTTATGGCTTGACAGATAATCCCAGATCAAACACTGCAACTCCTCAATAGTCTGATTCTTGACTGGTAAAGTTGGTATGGTCAGTTTACCACTAATGCTGTCCAGGCATGCTAATGTTGCAGAATTTGCATCAATGTGATTCATGCTGAAGTCGCAACTGCAGGCTTTGGCAATATTCTTGGTGATATTTAAGAGGATACCATGAAGTAAAACTGAGTCCTGGAGTAAAAAAAGACACACACAAAACAGTGAGGAATAATTTGAAAATCACTCTCCTTTCTTAATCAGAAGTTGACTAAAAGACAGTTGGAACCTGGAAAATTAAAAAAGGGCTAAGAGTATAAAACATAGTATCTAGTATGTATAAGACTGAAAGTGTAGGGCCAAAGCTAACCCCCGCCGACTCTCTCTCCATGGTCCCTGTCCATTTCATTCTAAAACACTGACCACAGGTGGAGTGGCACATTTATGTGGATATCATTTAATCATATCCCTACCTTCATAAGATGACAATCTTCAGTAAGGATGCGTAGCATGAGGTCTTTCATCCCAGGTACATTTGGTGGAGTAGTGGGACTCTCAACTGTTTGGAATGAAAATGGACCTGTAAGTTTGTTTTTTGTTCTCATACTATCAATGCTTTTCAGTAATTTTAACTACATAATTATATTGGCTGCAAAAAAATAATATTCACCTTCACAAGTCTTGCCAGTAAAGCCTGGAGGGCAGAAGCACTGAAAATCATTGACTTTGTCTCTGCATGTTCCTCCATTCTGACATGGATTCGGATCACAGTCATGTACATTGATACCACAGTTTGCACCAATGAAGCCTGGCTTACAAACACACTTCACACTATGCCCTTCATCTTTACAGGACAGAGAATTAACACACCAAGGCTCCTTACAAAGATCAACATCTTCTTGACAAAGCTTGCCTCTGTACCCATGACCACAATCACAATGGAAGTTATTAATCTCGTCAAYGCAGTACCCTCCATTCAGACATGGGTTAGAGAGACATTCATTTAGGTTGAGACCACAAGTTATGCCTCCATATCCAGGCTTGCAGTAACATCTGAAGCCATCCACCTCATCTATACATGTGCCGTGTTGGCATGGATTAGATGCACAGTCATTGATATTGACCTCACAATGATAGCCTGCAAGGAAAATTTTAAAAATTAATTATTAGAGTATTATTAGAATAAATCCTTCATATATATGGCTCATACGTTTTATGGCAGTTTCAGTTTTCTGGGGCAGTCTTAATTTTGCTTACCAAAGTAAAAGGAATAAGTGTTGAGAACTCTTTTTTCCCCAGAATTTTAATAAATTCTTGTCAAAATTTCATTCTGGCAAGTGTTACGTAACTATAATTTTTATGATATCATTCTTCAAAGCCTAGCAGCTATCTAATAATACTAGCTATTTAATTAACTCATATTTTAGAATTTAGAATCCATTAATGTAGCCACAAATTTATGACACACAAGTATAATAAATCAGAATAAAATTGAACTTTTATTCTTTCAGTGGCAAGTTCAACATTTTCATGGCTAAAGTATCAAAATGCTTAATTATGCATTACTTTACATTTGCAGTAAGAAAATAACTTGGAAAAAAATCGTTGTTTAAAATAATTATAACAATAATTTCCAAGGCCAGTACGTACTGCAATGAAGAAAATCTTGATAAAAAAGTTTGTGGTAAAAGAGGGAAAACTAAATACATAGGGATATATGAAGTACTTCATTAAACATTAGTATGTGGTTAAAATGAATCCATTGGCAGGTAGTGAATATTAACGAACATGATGTATGTTTACATTATATTTACATACTGAAAATGAGCTGAATTTTAATTGAAGTTCATAAACCTATATTTACTCTAAATGATTGAAGCTTATGAAGAAAACTGGAAGTCAAATCTTATCAAATTCGTTGATACAAAAGGAGCTTGAGATATTGAAGTATTCTATTTCTATAAGATGAATCAGATAATGTCAAGATAAATATTTAATTTCTGAAGCCTATCAAATTGAATCTTTGGAATGGATTATGATAAAATAAAATAAAATAAGGATTTTTATATATCGAAATGAATAGTGTGTTGAAAATAGTGTGTTGAAAATAGTGTGTTGGTATCATTTTTTGTTATAGATGTATACCTATATCTATATTAATATTTACCTGTAAACCCAGGTAAGCATAGGCATTGGAATGACCCCCTGTTGTCAAGGCATGTTCCGCCATTAATACATGGACTAGAGTCACATTCATTGACTTCCACATCACAAGTCTTGCCTGCAAAGCCCTTGGGACAAGCACAAGAGAAGTCGTTCAACTGTGGGGTGCAAGGTGCATTGTTCTTGCAAGGGTTTGATGCGCACAGGTCAATTACTCTGCTACAACGCTTTCCTTCATATCCTGGCAGACAGTGACATTTGTATAGATTTTCGTCATCTGTGTTTTGGCATACAGCTTGGTTTTTGCATGGCGTGGAGTAGCAGTGATCTGGCTTCTCACAGAATTCCCCTCTGAATCCCCCACAGCATCTACAATGATAGGCAGACTGGCTGAAGTATGTTGCACACTGCCCATGTCCAGAGCACTGCTTAGTTGATCCTGGTTCATAACATTTATTTGTCTTGACACTCACATTCACACGAAGTCCAAATTCACATCTAAATGTCCTATCAACATCATCAATAAAATAATGAACTCCTTCAGTCAAGAGGTCCTTTCCAATTAACACGTTTTTCTGAGGTTGTTTGACGACGTATGCGCCTTCTGAAACATTTTCCTTGCACTGAAGGAATACATTCTTGTCCCCCATGAATGGTCTCAAACCTCTAACATATGGAGCCATGTTTTCATCTAAAGTAAAATTCAGACTGTCCCCAACTTGTAGTTGCTGGGGTCTCAGTTGAACTTCAAGGAAAACGTCATCAGGAGTAACTCTTAAAGTGTGGTTAGAGTCTGCCGTGTCAAAACAAGAATGCTGGGTGTTGCAGATACTTTCTCCATAACCCCATTCAAGTTTTATTACTTCGCTTTCGTTCCGCCAACACAATCCTCCACTGCAGCTCTGTACACACTGTTGAATCTGCTCTTCTTTTAACTCGCAATGTAGACCGTAGAATCCGTTTTGACAAGTGCAGCGATAGCCGTTGATTTTGTCTACACAAAGTCCACCATGTCGACAAGGAGAAGAAGCACATTCATCCTCGTTTATCTCGCAGCGATAACCATTAAATCCCTGCTTGCAATAGCACGTCGGCTTACCATTACTATCTTTTTTACACACTCCATTAACGCAGAGAGTTGGAGAGCAATCGGACGGCTTGATTTCGCACATTTGTCCGGTAAATCCATGAAAACACTGACAATTAAACTTYGTTCCATTTACTGAACAAATTCCACCATTTTGGCAGGGATTTGAAGAACACGAATTCGGATTTCCATCAGAATTAACGCTACAGAAGACGAGATGGGACGTTGCTAGGACAAACAATAAAACTGAAACCAAAAAATCCATCTTGATTTATGAGGAATGCATCAAAAGGAAGCCTAGATTAGTCTTGTTTCAACAACATTCGGCTTATTTTGAAGGAACGCGTGCGATCGCCAAGGGAGATGGCAACGACTCAACACTCCCAGCCAATCAGATCCCAGTGTTTGGAATTCTTATATTTTATGATGTCTACTTCCGGTCAACGGCAGCAGCTGAGAACAAAGGAGTGGGAAGCCTGTTGAAACCTGTGCAAATATATCATCAAGAGCATAACTATCTTTTTAATATAATACAAGAAAACTTCCAGAATGTCTCTTAAGGAATAATGAAGACAAATATACATATTTTTGGAGTATTTTTTATTCCTGTTTTTTCAATCACGTGACTTTTTTGAAATTTACTTAAAACGAGTCATAAAGTATATATTGTATCTGACTATTTCTACGGATTGAAACCATAAAATCAAGATACTCATACAACCTCCAAGCTTTCAAATGTCCTCCAAATCACCTATGTACGGTATCTTAACTATTCTTTTCTTTGGGATACCTGTGGTGCGCGCCTTATCGTCGGCGCACGGCGGCCTGTTTCCTGTATTCAAGGTAAAAATTTATACAAAAAACCGTGTGCTGGCTATTCTTGACCCCTAACGTCATGATGGTTTTATTTATAAGGCTATTTATAGGGAATTTACCTCTTCGGACTGGATAAGCCTCAAAAACCTGCTATCAAAATTAATTACCACATACTCAAATTACCTTATCAACCAGTAATTAAGAGAGTGAGTTTTTTAGGTCTCTTCCTTGATTTGAGGGCCTTTTTCCTGGGTCTCCGTTTTCCTCCCTCCCAAAAACCTAACACGCTGAATATGAATTGCATCTGCGAGTTAGCCGTGCCCTGACTTCGATCAGCCAGAGGCCGTTTTCGGAGTACATCATAAAAAATTGAAGGAAGTAAAAAGGAAGGTTCTGATAGTCCGGAGGATTAGGGATGAGATTGTTCACTTTAGTAATCAAGGGTGAAGAAGGGTGGCTCAACACAGGAAGCCCAAATATTTGAACACGTCACGCCAAATGAATTTTACCCATGACTCTTTGCAGACGCACCACGCCTAATCGGCTCAATGATCACAAGTTAGATGTGCTTTTCAAAATCATAACTTTTTTGGCCGGTGACGGCGATTTGCACGGCTCTTTGCTTATGTGATGTGAAGGAAACTCTAGGTGGGCTGCTCTATAGACATCAGAGGCTTAGGAATCTGAACTATTGCTTGAAGAAGTGCCGTCATAGGTTTGGAATCACAAAGTGACAGACTGGCTCGGAGATTCTAGCTTCCCTGTTGTGTATGTGTTTACAGCTTTATTGGATGTTGTTTGCCTGCTAACTCTGCAATATGAGGGAATATAAAGTCGTCGTATTGGGATCTGGTGGAGTTGGAAAGAGTTGCTTGACTGTTCAGTTCGTAACGGGGCAATTTGTGGAGAAATACGACCCAACAATCGAAGACTTTTACCGAAAGGAAATCGAGGTAGACAACACTCCTTCGATTTTGGAAATTCTTGATACCGCTGGAACAGAACAGTTCGCGTCTATGCGAGATCTATACATTAAAAATGGCCAAGGTTTTCTTCTCGTGTATTCTATAATCAACAGGCAAACATTCGCTGACTTAAAGCCTATGAGATCACAAATTTTACGAGTTAAAGGCAGTGAAAACGTTCCTATAATTTTGGTGGGGAATAAGAATGACATTTACGACGAACGCGAGGTGTCTGTGAACGAAGGAAAAGATTTAGCTGAAGAATGGGGATGTCCTTTCTTTGAAACGTCCGCCAAGACCCGACAAAATGTGAATCAAGTTTTTGTAGAAATAGTGCGYAGAATGAAGACATCAAACTCAAGAAGTGGACGAAATAGCGGCGGCTGTTGTGTCGTACTCTAGACATGTAGTTGGACTTAGTGAAATTGATACTTGTTTTGTGAGTTCACAGTTTTGGGGCATCACAAGTTGTCTCGTTTTATTCTCATTCCCTGTAAAGAAAGAGAAAAAAAGTCAAAATCCTGTTACAGTTATAACAAGAATCTTTTTTGTAGCGAAAACAGCTTGATAGATATATGATACTGAATTCGAACAATGACGAAATAGAAGTCCTCAAACGGGGAAGCCATTTCAATGCTGACACTTAAAAACACATTTGGCTCTCGTCCATTTCAAAACTATCTAAATTTTTTATTTTTTTAGGGAAACGATTAGTAATAGGAAAACCTTGCAATATAGTAGGGTCATTGGAAAGGTTTACTTTTATAGTTATTAGACGTATTTAGGGAATATTTTACATAAATTTTGATCCAGCATGAGAAGGTAAGAATCACATTTGTTGAATCATCATCGTGCGTACCGTAGTGGGACAATTCAAATAGAAAGCACTCGAAATCTAATGAAGCCTCGTTATTAGTCTATTGTGTGAAGAATAAGAGTACTCTTAAAAAAATAAAGACTTTTTTCAAGTATAGAAATGTACAATAGTCTTATGAAGGACTGAAAGGAAAATAGTATTCTTTACTTCCTGTCCCAAAAAATGTTTTTTCGCTGTAAAGCTATTTAATAGCCCTCTACCTCATGGAACGTACATGTATGCTTTCAAATTTCGTTGTCTTTTTTGTGTGTACCATGACAAGAACTTGCTAATTCCAATTCATGATTGAACTAATATCTTTCATAAAGATATTTAAAAAAAAACACTTCCACCATTAATTCAATTACTTAAAGTAATATTGTCGTACAAGTTCAACAATTTTAATTAGTCTAGATTTAGTATTGTTCTAGAAAATGCTTTGTCTTATTTTATACATTTTTATGTATTGAAGTTAGTTTTGAATTATAGCCATTGTTTAAATTCAAAATTCTTCCAATTTTTAGTTAATTTAAGAATAAATAGAATCAGCTGTGAATTGTATTTATAATGCTGGTGTAATTTATATCAAAACAATTTAAAGATTTATTTGAATATTTATTGCATCAAGTTATATGTACCGGCCGTCATTTATACCAGCCTCAGCTGAAATGGACTGTGCCTGTCTGTAGAGTGCTAATAAATTAATAAATAAATCATGGTTAATTGTAGGCTAAGATTTTCAGTGGTAGAGGTTTCATGTGCCTGTGCTACTCTCCTTTAGGCCTATACTCAGTGGTGCAGTAATTGTCAAGTCATTGTCAATTCATTACTAGATTATGCATGGTTTTAAGACTCAATTAACCAAAGAAAGGCTTAGTTTCGTCTGTATTTGAACTTTGTAAATTAAGCTAGTTCATTATTAAAATCTAAGTTTAAGTTTATAATACAACCAAGTGTATAGAATTTTCACTTCAAACACTACCCTTAGTGTTTGGATAAAATAATAGTAACAAGGTTATCTTCAAATATCACTCTTGTTAAATTATTATTATTCTTGTTTTACTTGGTAGAATTATAAAACTACTTTCTAAGTTCATATTTCGTAAACTCTTTTCCTACAAAAATGCTGAGATTAAAAGGATACAAGCCAGTTTGGGTGGTAGGCTGAATGATTAATAAAGGGCTGACAGTTTATTATTTTTTGTAGGGTGAATGGGAGCACTTTGCAGCTAGCTTTAGTTTCTTTATTATAATTTCTAATATGTTGATATAAATTGGTATTTAAAAATTACTTACAAACAGCAACTTATAGATATATTCTTAACTTGATTCTATTAAATTCAAAACTGTTTTAATGTGGATGAAGAATTTAAACTTTAATGTTTTGATAATAAAAATAAATAAACATAGTCTTGTGTGGCCAAGCTCTTCCTTCTTTGCTCTACATGACTTTAAATTGGTATTTTTAAGTAGTATAGGGGATGGGGGTTCCAGCGCAACGACCACCGGAGGATTACCCGTCTAAAGT